GTGAAAGTCTGTGTTATTGTGTCAAAATAAGCAGCCATCGCGGCTTGTGAAGGACTAACATGACGTCGCTGCCAAGTTTATGACGTCACAATGCATAGGTAAGCTAGCTGACTAGATTGTTTACAGAAAGATAAGTCCAACCTATTTTTGCACACGGCCCCCTTACAGATGATGCAACAGGTATCAAAAAAGATGATGCAATAGATATAAAAAGATGATGCAACAGGTATCAAAAAGATGATGCAATAGATCTAAAAAGATGATGCAACATATGTACTGAATTGACCCACTTATCCCCTCCAGGGGCTGCACTCTCTTGACCCACCTATCCCCCCAACCCCAAAAGTGCACTCAGTTGACCCACCTATCCCCCCCCAAAAGTGCACTCTGTTGACCCACCTATCCCCTCAACCCCAAAAGTGCACTCAGTTGACCCACCCGGCCAGACCCCTTATACTACTAACGAAGACAGTTAGTGTTCTCTACAATAGTACAATACAAAAATTGTCTGCTAAAAATGGGACTCAATTAGTGCCCATGAGAATTCCGATATATTGCCGAAAAACCTCGATCTCGAAAAACTGCTTAGATATTTTCAATGAGGATCTCTAGCATCTTTCAAATCGCATATAAAAACACACACCACATTTTCTTTCAGTGCAGACTGGTGTTTCCCCAGCGTCTATTTAGCCCTACAATAAGCCACTTTACCCGTTATGAAGAAATAGCTGTGTTACACAACCAACGTTCTTGAAAAGAAGACTCTGCATCTAGAAGTTTCATTCAAACTTTTTTTTCTTTTTCAGTGCATGTATATAATTGATATAGATGCTGTTTTTACTTTGATCTAGAAAAACCTTGACTTAAAAAAAAACAAACAAAAAACAAAAAAAAAAAAACAAAAAAAAAACAAAAACAAAAAAAAAACAAAAAAAAAACTATTTAATTGAATGTGCTCGATTTGTAAACTTGGTGGAAAATTATGGACGGATCGAGGATTTTTTTTTTCCCGACCCAGGGATGTGAGTGTGATTGTATGGGTTGGAGGTAGAGGTTCCTTGCTAACTCATCACAGGAGGCTGATGAGCCACAACGCTCGCCTGAATCGCATTGGTACTTTGTTTATGTCAAAGCAATTTTAACTGTATCCTTTCTCTCTTTCTTCTCAAAATTTCACCATGTATTGCACAAATGCCCGAATCTACCCTAAATGGGTTATAAATAACTGGAATCTATTTAATATGGGGATGTTCAATAACAATATGACTAAAGTGACCTTGCTGTGCTTAAAAAAAAACGACAGTGCCAGCTAGTTAATTCTTAATTTTCATGTGGCGGCCGCCAGATTAGTTTTTTTTAGCGCCTGTCATTGGCTGCAAGAATTAAAAATTTTGGTTAACCAGATAATAGTGCATGATTTACTTCTTCACAATTTTAAACACTCCCCCCTCCCCCGCTTGAAAAGTGGGAGGGAAATAACGGGGTGTCCGTCCGTCTAGCTGTACGTCCGTCCGTCCGTTACGCTTTGGGGTCCCATTCTTATCTACAACTCCTCTTTTACTAGTGAATGAAATTTGATAAGACATTCACACAATCTTTGTTACATAATGCCATTGTGACCTCCTATTTTTCTTTTTGATCCATGTATGTTGGGTTTCTCATAACAAAACACAGACAATATCATTCTTTCTATAATATTGAAGGGTACCAATCGCGTGTCTGCAACTCCTCTTATACCACTAAATAAAATTTAATGATACTTTCAAAGATTCTTTGTTACATAATGCCATTGTGCACCTTCTATTTTACTTTTTGATCTGACACTTTCGAGTCTCACAGAGCAAAATATGGTATTTGCCATTATAATCATATGGGAGGCAGGGGGTATTTGTAAAGGGGGGGGGGGGGTTAATTTTGTTTTCACAACCAAATTTCTTTATATATTACAACATTTACCTTTAACTGAACATTTTCTAAAGTAAAAACTCAACAAAAAAATAACTTTCTTCTTCTCTTTTTTGCAAATCCAAAAGAGGGTTGCACCCCCCTCCCCCAACCTATGGATCTGCCACTGCATTACACTGCTGGCACTCCTATCATCTTACATTTTTATATGTTAAATATATGTCTCTTTTTCTTCTAACCAATTTCTGTCAAAAAAAAAATTCTCCAAAGAAAGCATGCAAAAGTACTGTAATGCTTGTCATAATCTCATACCTTAAAAAATCTCCCCCCCCAAAAAAAAAATTGGTTTATAGCACTGCAGTACTAGAACATGTATAGAACTAAGGCATTTTTGCCCCTAGATCATTTCTTTTTGTTATACCCTTATGAATAGCTTTCTATAAATTTATTACTAATAAAAAATCCAACAAAAGAAATGTTTATTACATCAGTCTAACAATTTCACTATTGATTGGCCTGCCGGTCCAACATAAGAATTGTTAGACCGCAACGTCACTGCTACGTCACAAGTAATTAATCATCATTCAATATTGGTGTCACGGAAGTAGCCGAAGTAAAGAACTGCAAGTGTTGTTGCCACTAGCAAGGAAGAAGGGAAGAGTATGTTCTGTAATAAATAATTTTTGTGGTATAATAAAAATATAATTAATTTTGTTCTTTCTCAGCTATTGTTTTATATTTACAGAATAAGCCATAATTTTCCTTATAAAGTAATTGATAATGATAACATAGTGTGTATTGTTTAAATCTTAAGTGAGCACTGAAGGGTATAACAAAACAGACTTGTTATAAATAGACTGGGTATGAGGGCAACATATGATTTGTTGGACCCGAAGGTGAAAATGTTGCCCTTGGCCTGTGGCCTTGGGCAACATTTTCACCTTCAGGTCCAACAAATCATGTTGCCCTCATACCCATTCAATAACTGTATAATGTCTACTCTTGGCAGACACAATGTGTAAATTATAATTCATATTATAATACATACTTAGTACAAGCACATTTGGTTGAGCTATATCATTGAGGGAGTTTGGTGTCACCCACATGGAAGCAGAAACTCTAAATCAATATCAAATGCCTCAATCTGCAGACAGGTATAAGAAAAGAAATTAAAAATGATTGGACCAGGAATCAAACTCAGGACCCCTGCACCACTAGTCAGGTGCTCTACCAACTGAGCTACCTAGGCTGATATCCAAGATCCCATTACACGTTTTCCATTGTTGCTTTGAGGTTTGCAAATTAAAGATGAAGATGCTACAAAAGTGTTTTTGGCTAACGTAACTTTCCAATGTGAACAAGAGCAGTGCAGAATTAAAAACATTGACTGAATTTGAATTTTATTGCATATACAACAACATATGTACAATCCTTTAAATATACTCTAAAAGATAAAAAAAAGAGTTAATTGTTCCCCCTCAACAAAACAGAACAATCCATCAGTTTTGAAATCAAGATGGTGTGTCTGTAATTTCTGAACACTAGAATTTTTAAGATTGTTTCTTTGAACTTTGAATGCATTCTCAGATGGTTTTAGTATCAATAATGATCAAGAAAAAGTAGTCATTAGTTATATATCACAAAAACCTCAATGATTAGATAACTTCGGACATTCAGCTCCAAGGAAATTACGAGGTTGGACATATCCATCTTGTTTGTCCCTAAAAGAGAAATATAATGAATTAATAAAAACTTCAAATTAATAGAATACTTATTTAGATTCTTTATAGCTGTACAGAGTATGTATAGCAAAGTCTTCTATGAAATTACATAAGTTTCTTGGAAATTGCAACATCAATGCAAAGTGTGATGGAAGGACAAATGGAGGGACCAAAGATGGTTATGATAAACACTGTCTGCCCCAGTCACTACAGAGTACTGCAGATGATATTCATAACTGTTCTGTCATTATGTGTATGTCATAACTATTCCTTATAAAGCAATATGAGAAAGTACTGAGTTTTAGACCATCAATTTTAACACATTTCTTATTAACTGATTTAATAAAAATAATAAAACAAATATAGCCTTTTGATTTGGTTCAAACCTTAGATATATTTTATTTTGTTTGTGTTTAACATCCCTCTCAAGAAATTTTCAAACATATGGAGATGCAAGCACTTGCCTGTGGAGACCTGCAAATTTTGACCTATGCTCGGGACTCAGGGCCATTGAGCAGGGAAACCCTCAACATAAGGATCAACTCCTTATGCCGCAACTCTAAAGCAGACACTCTAACCAAAGCACCACACAGGCGATCCCTAGATATCAGAGAACTTAGACAAAGCAAACTGACCTTGCACTTTGTGTTTGGTGGAAATGCTTTTTCTAAGGTCTATATATCCTGGGACTGACCTCATCAAAAGGCTATATTTGTAAAGTATTCAGTCTATATACTAATCCCTGGAATATATACCCCCACATGTATGATGCATAAATACATGTTATACTTACACATGATATTTGAGGTAATTACAGACTTCATTAATTTGTTGCTGTGTAATTTCTCCATCAATCTGTGCTAGGTAGGTGTAGAGATCCTTAAATAATGGGAAGGGGATTCTAGAGGGGCCGCCCTCGGGATCGGCTGTTAAAATCTCGCAGATTGTCTTCATGGCATCTGTAATGTTCTGAAAATGAAAGGTTAATGATTGAAAACATTTTTTAAGGAATTATTGTCCCTGACTTAAATCATAAATCTAGCTGTTATAATCATGTATATTATTTGTTCTAAGAATTAAATACTGTGACTTTTTGAACATAATTGAATTAATCTAAAGATTCTTTAGTTTTACATAAAATGCCTATCATCAGTAAAAAATTTTTTTTAAAAATGATTTAACATTTTATGTAGAGAGACTTCAAGTAATGGACTAGCTAGGCCACACCTTGATTAACACACTCTAGCTATAAAAGTAGGTACAAGACAATTACAAACTTGTCACTCAGGTATTCTTACCTCTCCTAGTGCTGAAGCACAGAGGGCAAAAAATTTATTCCATTCAACCTCTCCCCCAAAACTCCCTATCCTGACCAGGTCGTCAAATTGTTCTTTGGGGAGAGCTAAATCTGCCCACTTCTCCTCGATTAAGCTTAATGATACTGTCTTCTTTGGACCAAGCTGCAGATATCAACAAAATTGGTTAAATTTGATATTTACAGAAACATTACCATATCCTATTTAGTTTATTTATACTATGATATGACTGTAAATTTTGTCAACTTGAAAGAAAATTGCTTAGATTTTAATATAATGTAAATTTATGTTGTTTCACAAGTTTTTTTTTTTCCTTTCAGATTTATAACATCATTCTTAAGTATATGTACATTGAAAAAATAATCATGAGTTCAATTCCATAATAAACACATTTGTTGATATGTCATTCTGTGATTGTTAGTTTTCAAACACTTGTTTCATTTATAATAATGACATATTGTGTGATTGTGTCCTCTCAATTGTTTCCAAGAATGTTTCAGGACATGAGTTAAACACAGGCATTTATCAGTGAAAACAATCTGTGAACACTCGCAAATTATGTCTGTGATAAGTTTTTGAAGAAAAAACATTTCATATGTGGTAAATGAATACAAATGGCCAACCTTGGAGTCTACGAAAAAATGTTTCCACCTATATCATCAAATTGGAATTAAATCATGATTAGGAGGGATGGAATAATGGAAAAGGAGTAATTTATTTTGCTAGTCAATAAATGCATTAATTTGTTGTGCTCAAGATTAACTTTAACATAAATCATCAATTTAATGTTTGAATTATAAGGCCAAACATATTAAAATGATACAATACATGTTCAGGAATCTGACAGATGCAATTGAAATTTCATGGAATAAGCTCAGAAATTAATAATCAAGAACAATATTAATACATGGATATCACGAATACTGAGGAAAATGAAATCATAACTACATGTAGATGTATTAACTTTGTATATATTTTCCTTCTGAACTGTTCCATACCTGCTTATTTAGCACCCTCAAAAGACCTGGGGTAAGACCTGTATCTGTTTTCTGTGTGGCCACGGGCATTTCAAGTCTCTCTTTCACAGGGGGTGTCTCTCCTTTTGCCATGTCTTTAAAATAGCTATAAAATATAAACAAATATCTCGTCATTCATAATGTTATTCTTCAAGTAGGTATCCATATGCACACTTCTATGAGAGTATTCAACAAAAAATTGAGAGGGGAAGTAGAGGGAATTACATGTAACAGTATATACTTTCAATATTTTACAAAACTGGCGAAGTATCTGCCTCATCGACTTCCAACATCAATATTACTTTTGTATGTATTTAAATCAGACTTGCTTGATTTGACTTTGTGTTTAATACAGTACTTATTTTTAATTCTGAAATAACTTACGCAGCAGACCATGCCAAGACATCTTTTGGTTGAGTGCGGATTGCCGCTTTTGTGAATTGTTTCAGAATATCCGGTAATGATGGTGGGATATTTATTTGCTGCGAGCAGTAGTAGGGCTCGTCTGGATTGGTAGGCATTATTGAGTCTGAAATTAAGATATCAATGGTAAATGTATAATTATATACTTTCAGACAGTTTAATATACATCCTATCTATAGTCAGGTATCCAAATTTACTGACGCACCCTTAATTAAGGAATGACTCTAATTCTTGGCCAGATTATCGAGTATAATATGGTTTCAGGTAAGTTTACGCTTTATAATCCGCGAAGCGGATTATAAAAACGTAAACTGGTCGAAACCATATTATACTCGATAATCTGGCCAAGAGTTAGAATCATTCCTTATAATTTAATTTTATAATAATTATTCAACTGGGGATGTAAAATTGTGTTGTTTTTATGAGTTCAAATTTACCGCGCAATAATACAACCGTAGTAACGGAAGTGATGGGAAGCGAGGGGAGGTAAAAACTGATACATAGATCTAGCAGCCATGATGCTTGTTTACATGAGGTAAGATCGAGTAACTGTTTGAAATTAAAGGTACATTCATTAAATCTGGAATTTTCCATGAATCCCAAGGACTGGAAATGAGGGGATTGATGGAAACAGATGATTATGCTGGTTGTCAAGGGGGTGTGTCCCCATACCAAACCAGATTATACAAAATGTTATGCGTTCCTTTGGAAATCAACCAATGAGAGGCAAGAATACAAGCAAAATTAAATTATTGGGTAAGAGAAAGAGATACAAGTCATAATAAACATGATAAGGACACAAGCTTAATAGTCAGTCTGTATTATAATCACTTATCAATTCATTTTAAACTAATTCATTTTCGTTCTTCAATCAAAATTTTGCAAATTAATCCTTTGTGCTTCATTCAAAAAATGTTTTGGACACTTCAAATAAACATTGATTTTGTAAAGAGGGGTGCATTCAAGAAGACAAGTAAGATGACAATCTTTGAAGCAAAAATAAATCAAGAAATGTCTTAACCAAATCAACATTCAGCAAAAGAGAAATGACACGGGTATCAACAGCAACAAATATCTTGTGAGATTCAAGCACTGATCGATGCGATTTTCTAACTTTTTGCCACTCTACATAAGTATAAACAAGCGATAAAATCCATTTGCGGATCAATATATCATAAAAATCAAAACATTAACGTTTAAATACTCACTTTATGTTTGATAAAGGAAAATCACAGCTTCCGTCAATTTTTTTTCGAAAAATACAGTTGCAACCGGAAGTAGGTTATGTTGTTGATAGCAACGACATGCGCATGGTAAATCTTCGTCACTAAAGCGCTTAAAAGTGAGGATCACGTGACATTTTGTTGGTCAACACTGCGTTGTGGTCGTCTGCTGACAAGAAACTGAAAAGAAAGAACCGATTTTACAGACTTAAAGAAGTAGTACATACGAAGGTGCAAGTGTTTATAAGGTATAGACAGTTCTTCTGTCAAATACTGAGCTCTTTCAGTTTCTTTAAAAATATTGATGAAATCAAATGTATGTTCAAGTAACATGTTTTCCATATCCAGCAATCTTTTCCACTAAACGTCTAAAGTTTGAGTTATAAACAAGCAGTTCTAAATAGCTTGAATTTCAGAGCAGTTTTCACATGTTTTTTGTGTGATATAGACGTGGGGTCCACCATTCAAACTTTTGGATGAGATTATTTGTACTGTGGTAGATATTTATTTTCAAAAAAAGTTGGCTCAAAATTGGCCGTAACAATTTACATTATCCTGCCGTGGATTTCTCTTTAATTGGAATGAAATGCTTTCACCTTTACAGTAAAACATTCCATATAATTTTGTTGTGACTTACGGGTTTTTTAAATTTGGGGTACATTTTGTGTTTTTTTTATTTGCTACGTTTAGTCAATTAACATTTTACATGCTGATTGACAAAGGGGAAATTGATTAAATGTGTTTACTATTGAAGATTATTTTCAACTATCGTCCCAAAAGTATACAGTAGATATTTTTAAACTATCAGTCCTCAAAAATTTACTTTACTGTTTTTTGAACTTAATTATGCAGAGTAACATGTTTTTTCCTATTAAAATTTTTGAAAAACAATAATGAAAAATTAAACCAATAAAAAAATGAAAATTGTACCCCTTATCAAACCCAAAAAAAAATACTGTGGTGAATGTGGTTCTTTTAGTCTTACCATATCATTGTGAAATTATGCATTGAAGCCTTTAAATTTAAAAAAGATGATTTAATATTTTAACCATGCAGTGAATTATTACCAGTCAGTTACTAGCTAGGTTATCTAGCTCATGTATCAAACAGTCTATGCGAAATCACCAACGTCGGTTTTTACCGTTAAAATTTAGGTCGGGTAAAAGGAAAAAATTTCAGTATATGTGAGGGCCAAATTTAAAAAAAAAAGAAGGCCAAAAAAATTAAATTAAAGGTAAAATTCCCCACAAATATTTTATTTACCAAATTTTGCAGTAATACCTGAGTAATTTTCTGTTTACAACCCTGTCATGATCGT